CCTGCTCAGGTATATCGATTCACTGATATTCTCCCACAGAGCAAAGTTCACTTGAATATTCTACAATAACGCTGTCCATGTTTTCTACAGTATTCTGTCACGTGAAGACACAGTCAGAGGCAAATGTTTTCAGAGATGGGTTGCCGAATTCATGTTTTTCCATACATACTTTGATCATCAAAATCACTGGCTACTGCAGTTTGCAAGGGTAGGTGCAGAACTCATCAAGCCAGGCCAGTTATTTAGCTCAATAAAGACTGATTGAAAACTTCACTATAGGTGTAAATCTTGGCCAGACCATTTTTAATATTATACGTAAGAATTGTGGTGAACGGCACAAAATTGTTTTCTTCAGAAATACACGTTAAAATAAGGATTTGAATAAAGGTGTATTTGAGAGAAAATGCATATAAGCAGAATTTCCCATTTTCAGATTGGAAAATAAGGCACTTCTGTCACTTCTTACATACCTATGATGAGTTTACATACTCAAATGAGTTTTCAGTTACCACAAACACAGCACCACGAATGAAGTCAGATGGATGTGCACCACCACAACTGGGGCCTCTGCCACTGAAAGTACACAGTAATTTGGCAAATACCTTTGGCTCTGTTACTTGAATAACTTTTTATAATATGCTTCATACTCCTGAAGATAAAGACCATGTTTAACAGTGAATTTGCTTCAGATTTGATTAGGCATACATCAGTAAGGGTATAACGTGTTCTGTATATGCTGTGACTAACAAATCATAGGTACCACCAAAAAAGAGGTAGCGGAGAAACTGTCTTACTCATGCAGCGGCAGCTCTTCTGACATGAAGCTATACGAGTATATTTGAGATCAGAATTTATTCCACACTGCTAGTCCGACACAAAAGCATACTGCCAAAGCAAAAGCGTTCCACTCGTCAAGTTGGAGCCAAAATTGGTCTATTCTTCCTTAGCCTCTCACATTGGGTTCAAATTCCCAATGGAGAATGGAGCCTGCAAAGAACTAGTACAGTATCCAGTTTGGGATTTAAAGGACAAGGCAAACAAAAGATTTTAAGTGAGTGCTTCCTACTTTTAAAACATTTTTCATGTTCCTTTTGATATTGTCTTGTTCATAAAACAAGTGTTGACAATATAGTGACATTTCTGTCAATGTGCAAGGTAGAATGAATTGCACTACAGAATAATCTACTGAGTCTGTGATTCTCTGGACAAGCATGAATCCCAATTATAGTCACTTTAATTACACTAAAAAAGACAACAGTTGATTATATCCCACCTGCTTCATTTCTTCTCTGTCAGTAAACATCTCCACAAGCAGCCAACTTCTGAGTTACACAAGCATCAGTCCTGTGGGCAGAAACATATATGTATGTGTTATTATTCTGTCAGATGATACTGGCAACAGTAACAAATGAGTTCAGTTAACTGAGGCCTCTTCTAGAAACAGAGGCAGCACAGGTTCACGTGCTTACTGGGAGTCTTCTATGCACTGCTATATATATATATTTATGTATATTCCACCAATGTGTAAGAAAGAAGGAATTATTAAAGTTTAGGATACTACCCTGATAAAATATCAGTCTACATCAACAGATAACTAATCAAACTTTAATTCTGTGTCCAAAGAGAAGCGTCCCTTTGACACCCTGTTGTGATTCGGTGTCAGCACCCCAGGCTCCCACCACACGCGCAGGCACTCCTGTCCAAGCCTGTTGGACATGCATGAAACCCTAGCTTCAGTCACTGCTCTTGGTCACTGCAGACAAACGTGGTTAATATTTTTGTTTTACCAGCTGTCACTGAGACTTGTGCCCACATTGAGTCTCCCCAGCGAGCCTTCCCAAGAGCACAGGATCTCCAGGGGCAAGCTCCAGTAGCATACAGGGCCTCTGAAGTACGGTCCTTGTTACAGCAGATGTACTCTATGATGTAAAAGTGCTTTTCTTCTCCTCCCCCACTACAACTGTTTTTCAGTTCAGGTCTGTTACACAGCTAATTTTGAATTTGTGTACAATCCTGTTGACTCCTGAAAGACCTGGAGGAATTGTGGAGAGAAATCCTATGCACAGTTAGTCCTCCCTGATGACGCACTCCTCCATGGTCACCGCCCAACAGTAGCAAAGACTCCTTTCTCCTAATAATATTATGCCCACAGGGAGTTCAGATTAAATGCTTTTGCAGATAGTTTTCATGCTGTTCATCCACAGGCTTAAGGAGGAAGCTCCCTATATCCCACAGCAACCTCATAGGTATACGCTGTTTGTGAGAACAGGCAACGTTAGCTGTGGAAAATCAAAGTTAAAACAAAGGTTCCTGTGGTGATTCAAACTGACAAGGGAAAAAACAAAGTATGACTTTTGCCTGAAATGAGCCTAAGGAAACATTTCATAAGCTTTTAGATATGAGCTGCTGTTCTGTTTCATTATGAATTATGAGGCTGGGAAATCCCTAGTACCTTTAGCAAAGTTGGAATTATAATTAAATCAGATGTTAAGAAAAAAGATCTAAAGAGCTCACATTTCATTCTCACAGGACCATCCCTAGCCAATAACACCAAAACAGAAGAAAACTGTACTCTGTAAAAGGGAGATACCGGCCAAACACCTAAGGGATATTTAACTGGTACAATCATTTACAGTGGATGTGAAAAATCAAATTATCATATGTTCAGTTTCTAATGAAGAACACAAACATGCTTTAGCTCCTCCACCTTTTATGCCGTTGTTCCTTACTTCCTTTCCTAGTTTTCTTTGGGAGTTGAAATAAGTGCCAATTAATCAGCATTAAGACCATCCACTCACATTCACACCGCAGGAAATACAAAATAGGAAACACCACCCTTTTAAAGCAGCAGACAAATTTGAGAAGTGTTCGGAGCATCTGGACATAGCTTAATGCATGGCTAGCACCACTATACATTTATTTTAAAGAACCTGCTGCAAATATTTTAATAAAAAGTTTCCAAAAGCCCACAAAACTTTTCCGGATTTTTCTCCCTTTCACAGAGGCTAGGAACCACCAGCAAGCAGTGGGAACCTAGACATTTCTTCCTCTTTCCGACTAACACAAAAATATTTTCAGCAATCACCAACTTCTATGACGTTATCCTGTACTTCTAGTTTCTTAAAAATAGGTCTACATAGAGACAAATATACACATACAAGGGGTGCGTTTGTGTGTATGCGTGCACACGTGTGTGCGTATATATAGTAAATGATTGAACTATACTTTGGAGACTTCGAGTGATGAGAAGCTAGCGCTGCTTCCCAAGAGAAATTCCTGCCATTTAGTGCAATGTTGTGCACGCTGACAGCTTGGTTTTCGCCTTGGGAAACACGCCTGGCCTCCCCAGGAAGGGTCCCATCTCTGGCACCGATTCCTGACATGCAGAGACACTCCCGATGTGCAGATTGTCCAAGGACAGTCGCCAAAGGCTGAGAAACTATCCCAACCTAACCTTTTGCTGGGAGTAACTTCTCCCTCCCCAACAGTGTTGTATATGATTCTGTGTTCCCCATCATCCTTTTTTATTTTTATCTCAGATGCCAGAACTACTGCACTGCCCTTGGCTTCCCGCTCTCAGAAAAACAGACTATAAAACTGCGGAACGAACCCAAGTGCTGTCGTTCCGGCAGCCACAGGGCAGAGACCTCCTTTACCCAACATCCTCAGTGCACAGCAGCTACGCCAGCCTCCGAAACAGCGACAACATCATCCCCGAAATGCCGACAAGTTCCTTTGGACACAAACTGAAAAGAGGGCAGGACCGGGGAGGCTTTAAAATCAGAGGGTGCATCACATATTGAAAAGTAACTTTCCGGCAGCGCGTCGTGAGCCGGAGCAGCGAGCGGCGAAGGGGAGCGCGCAGCTACATGGTATATTCCTGTGCCTGAATGGGACACTCTTGTTCCCCCGCCAGCCGGCAGCTGTCACACAGCGGAGGCAGCCAGCAGCCGGTGCAAAGAGTGAGCCCACTCTGTCGTTTAGGATGACTCACTGGAATCTGGCATTAATTTCTCTTTTTCTGGTAGTGGACGGAGAACAACCAAAAAGCTACACTGGACTAGATCAAGGTAAGACATTTACAAGTCTTTTAATGCTAAAATAGCCCGTTGCTTTGAGGGGTGCCAGGCTGTGTACAAAAGCTGGCACTGGAACTAATTCGGCGAGTGTTGTAACACCTGGTATTACATGCCACCAGTGTGTCTTCCTGGTGTTAACCCCGTGCGTGCCACCATGCCGTGCCCTGGGTACAGACAGCAGGTCAAAATACAGCACAGCGATTGCTTTTTCTGCCCTTAACGCAACTTTTGCGGCAGCGCTACCACCTGCGCCTGTTCAAATGAGAAGCTTCTCAGCATTTCTAAACGGTCAGGCTTGCTTTTGTGTTCTGCCTCTGGGGATACAGCGTGTCAGGCGTCTATCATGGACTCCTTGCAGATTCATTCCCACGACAGTTGGTTCATCACTTTAGCGAGCTGAAATGCCACAGTCCACAGGAACATGTCTCCCCCTCATTCCCCCTCCCTCTGAGGAATTTCTGTAGGACCAAATAGATACTATTCATTTTTAGGCTTTTCAAAAGTGGTGCTCACTGAGACCACCAGAATAAGTCTGCTGAAGCACAGGCACTGCACATTCATATTTTTCTGCTGTGGATCAAAAATTCACTGTTGCAGGAGGGTTTCTGTAAGGACAGTGCATACCTCTGGCACATCAATTTAAAGTAAAGAGAGAAAATTCTTCTCCTCCCCCTTCTGAAATCCTGGCAAAATTCCCTTCTTCCATTTTCTGAGGAGGTACAGTATTTCAAGCTGAGTTATCTAAGCAGGTTTCTGATGGGGCTACGTGATAGTTTTAATTTATTTAATGCTTTTTAACGGAAAGATTTCACCTAACATCTACAGCTTCATCTCAGTCAAGCCAGTGCTTTTGACTAAATGGCTTACTTCAAAGGCTCGCACCGTTAAATTAATGCAGCATCACGCTTTCCTAATTCTACAAACAGAATACCAGGCTAGCTAGTGCCACACTGCAGAATCTCACAATTTTACCTTTGGATCTTTAATTGGCTAACTGCAATGAAGACATTTGTTTGAGATTACATCTTCTCTGTACTGTGGCAAGACTTGCAGTTGTGACTGGATGTACTTATGCTTCTTAGACATTACACTGTATTTTTCTGCAACATCTTATACATAATATTGGCTCATACCTTCTGTGTACTAACAGACAGTTTATTAAGAGTTGACTTTTAAATGATGTATTAAAAATTGCATTTGAAATCTACTAAGAACTGCCCTGACATTATTAATACAAAAAGGTAGCTCTATTCAAAGATCGTGAGGACTTCCACATCAATCACATCTACAACGACAACAACACAGGTATCAGCAGTTAACACTGAGCACTATTCAGCATCCAAGTAGTCGCTAAGACCCCACAGTCTGTTGACCCAGCATGTGCGTTTTTGGAAAGAACTTATGTTTCTCACTAACAAAAGACAGCAGTAATAGACCCTCCCCTTCGTTACTGCCTCTCTCTGCAATCTTTTACATAGATTTGGGCAAAACAGATTCCTATTTCAGAGAACTTAAAGCACTTTGGTACAGATCGTCAGGAAGGGGCAAAAGAAATGCTTGATGTGTCAGCATGGATTCTACCTGATTTTCCATCAGAATATGGTATATTTTTCCACTTGGTAAAAGTGGAAAGCGTTTGCTGTTGTTATGTTTTAAGACTATTTATTAAATAATCATTTGGACAGAGATCTTAGCTAATACGTTTTTGTGAATCTACCTTTTTTCCTTAGGGTTTTGCTACCATACCTGACTTCTCGTGCAAGGATATCAGATTATTTTGAGGGAAAGTAATTCAGACAACTGATTGTTGTGGTTCTGTCTTTAAACACTTGCTAATATTCATGCTGTTTAGTTTTAAATCAGTAGCTATTTATTGCACGCAAGCTCTTACTCACTTGCTACTGTAGCACATGCCATAGTCTCTGGAGTCTGCACAGCTATTTTTGACCCTGTCTGGCCAACGTCTAGAATACAAAATTATCCTCCTCACAGGTTGACATTTTTTTTTATTTTCTCCTCTTCAGAGGCATTAGTATATTATCAATTTTCATCACTATGGCTCCTTCTAGGTGGAATCTTAGTCTATTTAAACATAGGCAATTCACTGTGATAACACCTTTTGGTAACTTGGCAACAAGAGCAAAAAAAAAAAAAAAACAAGTTACATCCATCACACATGCAAACCTTGTATTGTGCTGCCCGTATACTCAGCAAATTAAACCTTTGTGATAAATGACATTCTAGACTTATGGACCAGTCAGTTTAATATCATTAGCTAGGCTCACCAGTTGTCCTTATTACAGAAGTCAAAGACTGCAGGAAGCAGCTGCAGAGTCAGCACATGTGCAAGGAGCTGTCTGTTAAGCAGAAACACATGTTTTTATTTGAGGCTTCTTTGTTGCAACACACATTATTAAGGAAAACCATGGCATTTAATACCAGCGTTGAGAAAATGGTCTGGCTACAGTCCAGACATTAAGAATTGCATGGTCATGTGTGGTTATCGCTTGCCTTTCTGTGAAGCCTCACTTCTCGTGCTATATTTTTATTAAAACAAACAAGCACTTCCAATGTCATTTAGCTATGAACAAGCTCGTGGGTCATTCATTTACTGGTGAGCTTGGAAGAAAGCAAGAATGAATTAAATTAGTTGCACTGCTAACAGAGAGGTTAGCACAGCACTACCTGCTGTTCCGCCCATGACGGGGGGACAGAGGACCCGTCACCAACATGAATCTCAGTAAGGAACCACCCTAGGACACAGATATGCTCAGCTCTAGAGCTCTGATTCAGCCTAAAAACATTCAACCAGTCACAAACTTTGCTCCTAAATCTCAACATATGGCTAACTGAAGCCAGGCTGCTACTTGGACGGGCATTTGAGGCTCCTGTCAGCTTTGAGTTCCACATCCCTCCTGGTAGTTCACCTCCGCAAACCGAAGTCAGGGGAGGCACAGGTTTGCCACACACAGTTAGTTAAGTGGTTTTAGTTATATAATTGATTTCTTTCGCAGAGAAGATAAAGATTCAGCCAAGTTCTTCAACTCAAAAAAATCACCTTAAATAGAAGCTGCTTCACTTCAGTTCCCATATATTTCCATAGATTACATCTGAAAATAACCCCCCACCCAAATATTAGGAGCTCTAAACAATTCAACAAGATTTTACACATTAGGAACATGCTAGCTGTTGAAAACGGCCTCTAGGAAGGTATTTACTTCATCTCAACTATTTAATAAAGCACACCCTGCTGTATATAGACATGTGAAGGAAATGGGTAAAATTTCATTCTCCATTGCAACAAATGTTCATTGAACACTGAACACAGTCAAGATCACCTCTATCTCATTATCTAGTACTTTAGTAAAAGGAAAGCAAAAGGTATCTACAGGTAATATTTAAAGCAGTTCTATTAATCATTATTAAAATGTTATTTTAAGCTGAATTGTACACAGGCACTGGTTTTAGAACAGGGGATATTTCACACGCTTGCTATACTGCCTTCCTGAAACTTCTTATAATATCTTCTAAAATCACCAGTTATGATGAAATCTAATTTTAGTCCAAGATTAAGGTGTTTCATAGGGATGAAAGTAAGGTGCCTTTGTTAAGCAAAACAAGCATCCAGCTCTTACAACCAGACATTATGTTTTGATAAGACTGTGCTTTCTTTTTCAGATTAAAGTCTTGGTTTCAAATGTGCTTTAAATTAGGGATGAATGAATCGGGGAGGGGGGGCAGGGTATTATTATTTTCTTTGCCTTCAATTTTAGTATCTCTTAGCAAACTTGGAACACCTTGCTGTTAGCTTTTTCAGTCCAACTGAATATGAACCTTTGACCATCCGCATCAGAGAAGAATACAACCAACTGAACCGTTGAGTCACTATATAAGAACTGTGTAACGTTTCTTAGAACACATGCATTAAAGTAGTGTCAGAACCTAATACAAATACAAGAGAATACCTAAACCTCAATCACAACTGAAATTTAACAGACTCATGTTTAATATAATTTCAGCAATATTCAGTTTCTGCTCAATTATTTTGCTGGGGCTAATTCCTTTTACCATTAAAATTCTTATTATTTATTTACTTATTTTTAGCAAATAGTGCTCTGTATTTTCCCTCAGATAAAATAAAGATGGCGCATTTTCCAAGGCACCATTTTGGTCCTTTCTTGCTCAAATGAAAGAAAACCAATATTGTGTTCACCACAAAGTAGTTTTTCCCATACTTTTCAGCTTTACATATTTGGACTTCTGAAAACTGATGTCTTTCAACAAACAAAACAACAGAAAAATAATTTTTTCTTCCTTTCATTGACACATAAAAAGTCTTTTCAGTCAATGCCTGTTTTCCTGTGATTGTAATTCAAATTTCCAAAATGATAAGGAAACTAAGTTCAGGCTAGGCATGTATTCCCTTTAGTTATGGAGGCAAGTCAGCTATTCAGTAGTTTAGAAATGCTGCCTTAAGGACAATAGGCATAAAGAAACTAACAACAATTCAAAAATGAAAACACTTATGACACCAAAGAGTACAGTCTATAGAGCAGTTCCAGTGGACGACATATCTGAAACTATCTTAGACACAATATCAATTTTTTGGCTATACTGTAAAAGCTGCAGGTAGCATTTCTTTCCTGTTCCTGATTGTGTCTTTCCCAGCCTGGTCATTCTAACAGTGTGCGCGTGTTTTGCACAAAAAAGCTCTTGCTCCTAAGGACACTAGCAAACTAGATATCGTTTGGGTAACATTTAGCAAAACGATTCCTAGGTCACTCAGAAGACAATACCGTGAACCACAGATTGAAGCAACCACAGTAAAAGCCGTCCAGAACCATCTTTTATTGATATAGTTACCAAGATTGTTAATTCATAAAGAAGCTTCAAATCTGTAGCAATACATGACTTGAAACCATTTGGTAAAGGATGAATGTGCAAACTGCAGAGGTACTGGAATGTTACAAGACATGACAAAACCGAAAGCT